CAGCATGGTCCCAGGGGCCCTCTCTCCACCACCCCCACTCATGTCCCCGCATCGGGTCCCCAGACAGTCCTGGGTACATCCCTCCACCTAGGTCCTCTTTTGCTAAAATACCTGTGGGAAAAATACCTCAGACTGTTTCCCCCAACTTTGGGGATTTGATCACCAGCATGACATCTGGCTTCACCTTCTCCACACATCACTCCACATACCTTTTCCACGCACGACCTTCTCACTTCTTCTCCACAGTCTTCACACATCTTCTTCACACACTTGCTCCACATACTTTTCCATACACCTGCCCCACACACCACCTGCATTATTACTTACATAAGAGTTCTATTTAAATCAACCCTCCCTCCCTTTTTTTTTTAATTGGCTTTTGCCTCACACCTGGGAGTGCCTTGTGGCCGTCATCAAGGGGATCGTGCAGTGCCAGATATCAAATCTGAGGCTCCCATAATACAAAGCACGCACTTCGCTTGGGTGCCGTTTTGAGCCCTTCAGCCTGCACCATCTCATTTTTTTAAAGCCTATATTGAATCTAAGCATTATCTTCAAATCCACATCCCTATTGGGCTGTTTGGGAGCGGGAGGTTGTCTTGATTTTCTGTAAGAGGTACTTTGAGGCTACTCCTGGTTCTGTACGTTGGGGTCACTCCTGGCAGTGCCGTGTGACCTTGCAGTGCCAAAGATTGAGCACAGGCCTCCTACACGCAAACCACGTACTCCCGCCCATTGAAGTGGTCGAATCCCTGACTTTGAACCCCAACAGCCCACAAGCTCCCCCGCATGCAGGTCACCACTTTGGCTAACCCCAGTGAAGAAACGTTGTAGACTTTGAACTAATCATGTTTTTTTTTTCCTATTTATTACACTAATCATTTTTTTTTCCTGTTACACATTTAATGAACACGTAACTGTTTAGTCTTAATTTCATTCCTGGTAATCGCTTCTGAAGCCCTTTAGGGTGTGGGCCCCAGTGTCTAAATTAAAACATGATGCCAAGGCAGAGCCCTTGCTGCTCAGCCAGGGGCCCTCCTCAGACCTGACCCACCTTCCTTCCAGGGCACGGGCCCAGAGCCAGAGGGCAGCATCCCTGCGTGGCACAAGCGACGTTCTTCAGATGACGCAGGTGAGGACCGTCCTCCTCCTTCCTCAGACCCCTGTCTCCAGGCCCCTCATAATCTTCCTTCCCCCACTCCCCTGTCCTCGCTCTCCTCCAGGACCCGGAGCCTGGAAGCCCCCACCGCCTCCCCAAAGCACCAAGCCAAGCTTCAGCGCCATGCGCCGTGCCGAAGCCACCTGGCACATAGGTATGGGGGCCTCTCTCGGGCAGCAACCTGGTTCCCGAAAACCCACAAGCCATGGGCCCTGCTTTGGGGAGTGGACAAGCAAGGTGGAGGGGTGAGGAGCAAACCAGTGGAACTGGAAGGAAGTTTACAGAGCCTCCTGCTCCAGGCCAAGAGTCTGATAAGAGCCTCCCCACACACACCAGGCTCTCCTGGGGTGCAGACAGGAACACACCTTGCAGGTGGTTTTGGAAGATTCTCTGGCCACCATCCACAGAGTTGCCCCTCTCCAACAGCCTCCTTTTACTGCTTACTGGGCGAGAGGCCAGCACTGCCCAGGCCCACATGGAACCCTACAGTCCCCTCTGGACATAGCTCCCTAGGTGGTCCTCGGGTCAGCTCACTGAACAGTGCCTCACCTGGGGCTCTGAGGCTCTGTGGGCTCATCAGGGCCCTAGCAGGATTGACTGAAAGGGCTCCTTCTCCTCCCCTCCTCTCCCCTCCCCTCCCCAACCCTGCCCTCCCCTCAGCCTCCCTTCCTTTCCTTCTGCCTGGGAATGAGAGAGCTGGGCAGTGGCAGGGTTGTCACAGTATGGGCTCTCTTCTGCTGAGCTCAGAGCCTCTGAAAGGAAGGGGCATCAGCGCAGGGCCTCTGGCCACATGGCCACACGGACAGACAGACAGACAGCCCTGCAGGGGCCTCCAACCTCCCTCCCCTCTCCTACGGCCCCCATGAGGCTCCTGCAGCTTCAGCCAGCGATTCCCACACCCAGACTGGGAAAGCGCGGGGAGCGGCGGGCCCCGGGGTGGGCTGCACAGCCCGGTCTCCTCTTGCTCGAGCATCACACACCCCCTTGGGGTCTCAGGCTGCCCAAGTAGGAGCCAGGTAGGGACTGGGGGACAGAGCGGAGGTGTGCCAAGGGACCTCTCCCAGAGGCTCTTCCCCATCCTCAGGAGACAGCCTGAGGCCTTGGCAAGGCCTGGGCCCTGCAGTCCCAGTGGACAGCCAGGTCTGCGCCTGACCCAAGACCCCCACAGCCACAGACCCTGGCTCTGCCCTCACGGAATGGTCCAGCCAAGGCCAGAGCTCTGGGGAAGGGCAGAGTCAGAGAGGTCCCAGGGACTGAGACCTGAGCAGAGACGTGGGATGAAGAGAGTCGGGAGGGGACTTATGTCCGGGTCTCCAGGGTCTGGGGCTCAGGAGACCAGGAGGGTCCTCGACAGCACCGGCTCCTCTCGTCCCCAGCGGAGGAAAGTGCCCCCAGCCTGAGCTGCCAGAGTCCCAGCCCCGCCTCCCAGGAGGGGGAGGAGGAGAAAGGGGGCGCCCTATTCCCAGAGAGGACTGTTCTCGCCCGGAACGCCAAGGTGAGGGCCGGCTGGTGGGTGGGAAAGATGCCAATGGCGCCCAAGGGCCCACACGACCCCAATCTTCCTTCTTCTGCCAGCTGCAGGACCCGCCTTTAGCTCCACGGCCCCCAAAGCCCGTGGCTGGCCCCAGGGGTCGCCGACACCCCCAGGAGCCGGGGAGCAAGGAGGAGGCAGACACTGGGGGTTCAGCCCCTGGAATGAGCAAACCACGGCTGAGGCTGGACACCCAGCAGGACCAAGAGGAGCCCGAGGTGCAAGGTGTGCCTTGTGACTGGAGAGGGTCTGGAGGGTCCTGGGGCCCCCACCCCCAGCAGCCAGCCTGTGAACCCCACCAGGGGACAGGCCTGCCTTGGTTGTCATTTCAGGGCCCCCAGATCCAGGCCGCCGGGCCGCCCCGCTGAAACCCAAGCGGACGCGGCGGGCACAGTCCTGTGACAAGCTGGAGCCTGACCGGAGGCGGCCCCCAGACCCCACAGGTGCCGGTGGGGTGGTCGAGAGGGCGGCGCCCCTGCCCACCCATCTATCCTACACGGCATGCGCCCCCCCGGGCGGCTGGCTCTCTCTGCCCCGGAAACAGGGGTCCCTGGATTTATCCCCAGCAGGAGCCGGCGAGCCTGGGACAGACTGACAGCCACGGCGGCCCCTCCCAGCCCCCCCCCCTCGTCTCGAATGTGCCTCACAGGGACTCACACCCCCACATGCCCGCACCTCCAGCCCCCTGCCAGCCCCTGTCTTGGGGGCAGGAGGAGGTGTGGGGACAGGAGGTGGGGGGCAGCCTGGGGAGAGGAGACTCACCACCGCCTGCCTCTCACTCCGCTCCGCTCCACAGGGAGCTGGAGGTGGAGGGGACGGTGCCTCTCTCCCCAGGGGCTCTCTCCCCACTTGTATAGAATAAAAGACCAAAATCACTGCCTGCCTCATGTCTCTGCTGTCTTCCCCCTCTCCTGCCCCCTGCCATCTGCTCCCCTTCCTACGAACCCCCTCAGTGGGGAGCACTGGGGTGCAGCTCGGTGTTTGCGGGGGGGGAGGGGTTCCGGGAGGGGGAGCAGCAAAGAGCAGGGCTGCTGACTGCAGGGTGTGCCCGAGCCCCCAGCCCAGGCGGGGTGCCCTGCAGGAGAAGAGACAGGAGAAGAGCCAGAGCAGGACGCCCATGTCCCGGACACAGAGGGGCAGGCTGGTGTGCTCACGCGTGGCGACCAGCGGCGCTGTGTCATCCTGGGGGCCCCCCTGGGCGGTCAGCATACTCGGGGGTGCACATGGGGCTGTTCCAGAGCTGGTCCCGGTGGAGCCACCCCAGCCAACAGGAGAGCTGGTCGAGACTCATCCCTCCCGGTGCCCCCCCCCCCACCAGGCCCACCCTTCTCGCTCTCCTGTCCACGGCACCTGAACAACTCTGCTGCTCTGCACCCCTGAATCTGCCTCAGCACCCGTCAGTTCTGTTCGTGCCACACCTCCTCCAGCTCTGCTCAATCCCCAGAGGTTCCCCTGACCCTGGCTCAGTGTGAGGCAGCCACCCAGCGGAGGGCACAGAGGCAGGGGTTCTCCCAGATCTCCGTGTACCTCAGCGTCCCCCACAAGCACAGCACCCCGAATCCCAGTGCGGGCTCCCTTCCCCTGGCACTAGAAGGAAGACAGTTTCTCCCAGACCCGGAGGGGGGAGCCCCATGAGTTCAGGCTGGAGGAGGGGCAGTGCCCCGGCCATCGTCCCTCTAGTACATTCCCTGGCCTGTCCTGTATAGCCAGGATGGGGGATGGAGCCATCACACCGTTTGGTCCCTGTGCTTGCGAGTCCTTGTTCCATGGTGACAGGGGACTTGGGCGGCCGTGAGGATGAGCAGATGCGGCCGGTCTGTGAGGGGCACATAGAGACACGTCCCGTGGTGCTCAGACCGGACGGAGCCCTGCGCGCAGGAGGTGACGAGTGCCACGGCGCTGGCTTCTCCGTGGCCTCAACCGTCCCTAACAAGTGTGCGGTGCAGGCTGGAGACGGGTGTGTCTCCCTGCGTGCGTCTGTGGGGCTGTCACTGTCTCAGCATCACATGTGCTGGCACCCGTGTATGTGTCAGGATACGTGTGAGTCGGGGCGTCCTGGCGCCTGCCCCCCCCATCTCCCGGGTGACTGCGCACGCACCACTGCAGCAGGCCCCTCGGTGGTGGGGGTGTGGGGGGTGGCACTAGGAGGATGCCTGTGTCCCTGAGTCTGTGGGGGTCCTGCCTCTGAGCGCCCCCGCCACCCGCCTTCCCCCTGCTCCGTGGCTCCCTCCCAGCCCATGGCCCTGCCCCTCCTCTCTTCTCCCTCCCAACGCGTCTGTGCGGGGGGAGCTGGTGCTGCAGGTCCCCCCCCCATCCCTCCCCATCCAGGCCCCATAAATAGCAGCAGAGCCGGAGCCGGAGCTGGCGCCAGCGGCTGGAGCAGCAAGGGAGTCCAGGCCGAGAGGCGGAGAGAGGAGCCCCCCACGAGAAGCCAGGTGAGCCCACCCTGCCTGCCAGTCAGCCTGCCCAGTCTCCATCACAGCATCTTGCGGACCCCACTTCAGCTCTTCACCACCCCCTGCTCAGAGTGAACTGGGTGACTGGAAGCTGGAAGGCAGAGAATCCCCCCTCTTCCTCCCCGCTGGGCAAAAAAAAAAATCAACCCCCCCTCACCAATCCAGCAAGGCACAGGCTGCAGGGAGGGTCCCAGCCCAGCAGCGCAGGGACCATTTCTGAGGGAAGCCGGGGAGAGCCACACCCTCTGGGAGACAGACGCCCCCAGGGTGAGGGCATGCAGACACACCCCCACACCCTGCAGAGACCCCAGGGGGACGGGGACCAACACAGAGACCAGCAGGGCAGCCGAAGCTGAGAAGCTGGCCGAGCACAGACCGCCTGCCTGCCTGCGTTGTGCCCCAGACTGGGTCCCACCGCCCCAGAGAGGAGGGCCTCCGTGCATCCCACAGGCAGCTCAGAGAGGGGCTGCGGCTCCCCCAAAATCCTGTCGCTAAGAGACAGCGCCAGTGCTGCCAAGAAGTGTGAGAACAGGGGGGCAGGGAGGGAGCCGAGGTTGTCATCGTGGGAGCCCAGCCAGGAACCTGGAACGGCTCTCCCCAAGCCCCCACCCAGGCCCTCCCGGAAGGAGGGAAGCGAGGGGGGCCAGGACCGCTGCTCCGGGGTACCGTCTCACCAGTCTCCTGCACCCACGGCCGACCCCACACCTGAAGCCCACCCCGAGGCTTCCCACCCTCTCCCCACCCCCTTGGCCCAGTTTGGCCCCGCCAAGACTGAGTGCAGCGCTGGCCAGCGTCCGCGGGAAATGGCAGAGGTGCTGAGACAGCAGAGAGCCCCGATCAATGCGTGACCTAGGAGCCAAGCCTGCCCGGAACAGCCCCTCCAGCCCCACCCGTGCCGCGAGAGCAGCAGCCAGCAGGGACCGAGCCAGGCTGGCAGGGAGGGCAGGCTGCGCGAGGCCCCCCCAGGAAGCGAGGAGTGGTGGGGAGAGGACGGGGGTCCCCTGAGAGCTCAGGGCAAGGAGGGGCATGACCCCAGGCTTCCAGAAAGCACACCCTTCCCTGGCGGCTGCTCCCGTCCCTGCACCCAGGCCTTCTGTTGTGTCCCCTGCCAGCAACATGTCGGAGTCGGAAATGGGGTGGGTGCCCGAGCCCCCCGCCATGACGCTGGGGGCCTCCCGGGTGGAGCTGCGGGTGTCCTGCCACGGCCTCCTGGACCGAGACACACTCACCAAGCCACACCCCTGCGTGCTGCTCAAGCTGTTCTCGGACGAGCAATGGGTGGAGGTCAGTACACCTGGGTCTCTCCTCAGTCACCCCCTGGCCTGGACAGGAGCACGGCTGGGCTGGGCCTGCCAACCCTGAGGGAGTGTGAAGACCAGACCCGGCCACAAACCACTGCTCTGCTTAGAAAGCCCATGGAATCCCAGCGGGAAGCCCCCAGGGCCAACCCCCAGCCCCTAAGCCCACACCGGGTTGCTGCTCCCTAAGGCTGACAGCTGGCGGCCCTGGAGCTCACCGTCCAGCCTTGTGGAGGGAGTGGCTGGGACTCGGGGGAGCCCTCAGAAAGCTGGGGCCAGCATACAGGGCAGCTCCTGAGGGTGGACACTCCGGCCCCCCGCAGGTGGAACGCACGGAAGTGTTGCGCTCCTGCTCCAGCCCTGTCTTCTCCCGGGTGCTGGCCCTGGAGTACTTCTTTGAAGAGAAGCAGCCGCTGCAGTTCCATGTGTTTGACGCTGAGGATGGGGCCACCAGCCCGACAAACGACACCTTCCTGGGCTCCACCGAGTGCACCTTGGGCCAGGTGGGCAGCCCCCACGCACCATCAGAAAGAGATGGGCCCCAGGGCACCAGCTGCCTCTCAGGCGGGCACTGCAGCCTGGGCCCAGATCCTGGGCTCTCATTCCCTCCATCACTGCGGGATCCCTGGGTCCACCTCTCCGAGCCATGGTGGAAATGAACGCCAAGCCGAGGCCAAGAGGGGATCCCTTTGGGCACTCGGCCAGCTTGAGCCTGGCTGTCACAGTGGGTCTCTCTCCATTTCCACTTCCAGATTGTGTCCCAGACCAAGGTCACTAAGCCTTTGCTGCTAAAGAACGGGAAGACGGCAGGCAAGTCCACCATCACGGTAAGCAAAGGTCACCTGTGCCCATGCTGGATATTTGGGCCCCTGCATGGGAATCCATGGCACCATCAGGCCCAGAACTAGCCCCATTTAAGGGTAAAGGAAGTAGGAGGGTCTTTGGGGACCACCTCCTGCCACCTACTCTGTCCCCCTTATAGATCGTGGCTGAAGAGGTATCTGGGACCAATGACTATGTGCAACTCACCTTCAGAGCCCACAAGCTGGACAACAAGGTGGGAACCCCAGAGCATAAACCCCTATCTTCCCTGTCCAGGCGTCTAGACCCCCCCAGTCAGCACAAGTCCCAGGACCCTCTTCTGCAGCAGCCCCCAGACTCAGGCACCCTTTTCCCTGTACCCCAGGATCTGTTCAGCAAATCTGACCCTTTCATGGAGATCTACAAGACCCACAGCGACCAGAGTGATCAGCTAGTCTGGAGGACCGAGGTTGGTGCCTGGGGTGAGGGACACAGAGCAGGGCTATGGGTGGGCTTGGCCTCACATTCACCCTGGTCTGTGAGTCTATGAGCTGACCGAGGTTCAATCTCTGGCACCCTGTATGGTCCCCTGAGCACTGCCAGGGGTGGTCCCTGAGTACAGAACCAGGAATAAGCTCTGAGCATTGCTGGATGTGGTCCTCCAAAAAACTACATGGGCACAGAGGGTAGGAGACCAGAGGAGAAGACCCCCCCCGGGAGGGATGACCAGCACCCCATTTCCTTTCTAGGTGGTGAAGAACAACCTGAACCCCACCTGGGAGCCCTTCCGCCTATCCCTGCATTCACTGTGCAGCTGTGACATGCACCGGCCTCTCAAGGTGAGGTCCCGTAACCCAGGGCCACCCAGTGCACTGCTGGCCTCTGTATAAGACCATCCCCCTCATGAAACAAGTCCCTCGCACCCTTGTGGCCACACTTTCTGCAATGTTAAAGAATGGGGCACTTGGGGTCCAGAGCAATAGTACAGTGAGTAGGGCATTTGCCTTCCATACAGCCAACCCAGGTTTGATCCCTCACACCCTAGATGGTTCCCCCAGCACTGCCAGGACTAATTCCTGAGTACAGAACTAGGAGTCAGTCCTGAGTATTGCCAGGTGTGGCTCCAAATCTAAAAAATTTTGCTCTGAGTTCTACACCTGTGCCTTTCATCAGGAAGTGAAGTCCCAGTCACCCTCAGCAAAGTCCAGAACTCTCTAGGCGGCCTCTCAGGCCAGGCTAAGGACAGTTCTTTGGGTGGGGACACTGTTGAGCCCTGAGTCCCTCTTGCCACTCCCAGGAAACATTGCAAAGCATCCCAACCCTGCGTGGACCCTGAACCCGCACCCCAACCCTGACCGTGACCCCCTCTGCCTCTCAGTTCTTGGTGTACGACTACGATTCCAGTGGAAAACATGACTTCATCGGTGAATTCACAAGCACCTTCCAGGAGATGCAAGAAGGAACAGCAAAGCCTGGACAGGAGGTGCCACAAAGCCTCCTCCTCCACCCACCCCCACCCCCCGCACATCCCACCCAGATTTCCCCACCTGAGACCCCAGAGATAACATGAAGCCAAGCAGAAAGGCTCTGCACCCTGGGAGGGAATCTGGGAGACTCTTCCAGAAGGGAGAAGCAGGGTCACGTGGCAGCATGGTGCCCCTGGGCTTACAGGGTGTGTGTCCGGGGGGCGATCTAGATGCAGTGGGACTGTATCAACCCCAAGTACCGGGACAAGAAGAAGAATTACAAGAGCTCAGGGAGTGTGGTGCTGACCCAGTGCACGGTAAGCCCTGGGCCTGCTGCACGCCCCTACCCAGCCCTGCCTGGGGAGGGAACACGGACCTTTGCCCTGTCCCATGGCCAACTTCAGCCTCAGAGTTCTGCATTCCCCACTCCCACCCCAGAGCCCCACCCGGCTCCCTGCTTAAGAACACCTCCCTTCCCCGTGGCCCCCCTCCCCCAGGTGGAGAAAGTACACACTTTTCTGGACTACATCATGGGCGGCTGCCAGATCAGCTTCACGGTAATGGCTGGGGTCTGGGGACGGGGTTGGAGGGAGGGGCCCGGGGCCCCACATGCTCAGAGCCCTTCCCAGGGCCTCTCCTGCACCCTAGCACCATTCATTCAGTCCCTCAAGCCCGGGATGAGATTACCTGCAGGGTTTCATCTTTTTGTTTGTTTGTTTGTTTGTTTGCAACTACAATGGACCATGGGGAGGGGGGGTTAAGCCTGGAGCCCCCACATGCTGTGCTCTGGCTCTTTGAGCTCTAGCCTTCCTGGTGAGTGACCATGGACCCCACACCATCAGGTGGCCATCGACTTCACAGCCTCCAACGGGGACCCGAGGAGCAGCCAGTCCCTGCACTGCCTGAGCCCTCGCCAGCCCAACCACTACCTACAGGCCCTGCGAACTGTAGGGGGCATCTGTCAGGACTATGACAGGTGGGAGAAGGGGGCCGTGGGGGGAGGGCACAGGTAAGGAGCCCTTGCCCAATGGGAGCCCAGAGCCTTTTTTTTTCTCCCCAGTGATAAGCGGTTCCCAGCATTTGGTTTTGGGGCTCGAATTCCCCCCAACTTCGAGGTAGGCTGGGTTCGAGGGGAAGGGAGGAGATAGAAATTCTGAGGGGACAGAGAAACAACGCAGCCCTCGCCTACTCCCCTCCCAGGTGTCCCATGACTTTGCCATTAACTTTGACCCAGAAAATCCTGAATGTGAAGGTAAGAGAGGAGAATGCCAAGGCGGCTCGGGGCACAGGGTACCCTTATGGCAGCATGATAACTCCCAATAATGCCCTCTCTTCCTATGGACCCAGCTCCCTGCCCCTCCTCTGTCCAGCCCCTGGTTCAATATTCCCCCCCCCCCCCCCCCCCCCCCCCGCTTCTGGCTGGTCACTTTCCCACTGTTTGGTGAGAAGCTGGGGGGTGGGGCTATCAGGGCTGGCCTCTTTCTCCTTGCTGGAAGAACCCCAGACTAATCTCTGCGAGCCTCGTCCTCTATCACAGAGATTGCCGGGGTCATCGCCTCCTACCGCCGTTGCCTGCCCCAGATCCAGCTCTATGGCCCCACCAACGTGGCCCCCATCATCAACCGGGTGGCAGGACCAGCCCAGCGGGAGCAAAGCACCGGCCAAGCCACGGTGAGATAGCGAGACAGCCACTAGGCTTGCTGCCCGGGGTGCCCTGGGCAGGGGAGATCTAGACCCAGGTCCTCTCACCCAGAGTGGACCTCTCCTCCTGCCCTGTCTGCCCCGCAGAAGTACTCGGTGCTGCTGGTGCTCACCGACGGCGTAGTGAGCGACATGGCTGAGACCCGCACTGCCATTGTGCGTGCCTCCCGCCTGCCCATGTCCATCATCATCGTGGGCGTGGGCAACGCCGATTTCTCCGACATGCGGCTGCTGGACGGCGACGATGGTCCTTTGCGCTGCCCCAAAGGAGTGCCCGCGGCCCGTGACATCGTCCAGTTCGTGCCCTTCCGGGATTTCAAGGATGTGAGTACCTGACCCTCCTGGACAAGGCCAGAGCGGCAGTATAGATGGTCGGGTGTTTGCCTTGCATGTGGCCAGCCCGGGGTCAATCCCTGGGGTCCCGGCCACAGAGCACCGCCAGGAGTATATTCCTGAGCCAGGAGAGATTCCTGAGTGCAGAGCCAGCAGTAACCCCTGAGCACCGCCAGGTCTAGCCTCCCTCCCCAAAAAAGAGACTTCTTATATTCTCAGGTCAGACGCACCTCCCGCACCTGAGGTCCTGCCCAGGATGCAGTGCCCGCCACTCAAGCCCCACCCTGTTGTTGGCCCCGCCCCTTGCCTGGACCCGCCTCCCCACTCTCTGTCCCTAACCTCCTGCCCTTCTTCCCTCCCCAGGCCGCACCGTCTGCGCTTGCCAAGTGTGTCCTAGCAGAGGTGCCCCGGCAGGTGGTGGAGTACTATGCTAGCCAGGGCATCAGCCCTGGGGCCCCCAGGCCCAGCACACCGGCCACGACCCCTAGTCCTAGCCCGTGACTGCCACCGACCGGACCTACTCACCCTCAGCCTCTCAGTGAGTCCAAGGGGGTGCACAGCAGAGGGCGTCAGGTGGGGTGAAGAGGAACCCCGTCTTTGCTGGGTGTGGTGGTGTGCAGGGTGAGCCTGACTGTTCCCCTCCGCAGGTGCCTGTCCTGACCCTTGTGACTCAAGTGACCAGAGCCTCTTCCTCTTGGACCAGCTGTGCTCCCAGGGCCCTAGCTGCGAGGTGAGCCCTGATCCCCTGCTCCAGGCCCTGCACCGCTCAGCCTTGTGGCCCCCCCCGCCCAGTGACTTTCTTCAGTGACTCCCAACTCTCTGGCCCTAATAAAAGGAACTGCTCCTAGCACCTTCGTGTCTGCCATCCATGTTCCAGGTGCCCATCAGGCACATACACCCTACTAAGAAACGAGGATCAGCCAACTCGGAGTTCAGCACTGCGGGTCACCAGATGTCTCTGCAGTTTTAGCCCATCTGTGTGCCAGTGGGATCTGAGGCCCCCTTCTCCTCGCCCCCAGCCCCAGGGGACCCAGGCACCATGGAGGTTAATTGTGGGAAATGGGGGTGCTAATAAGGAGCTGTCAAGAGGGAAGGCTGATCCCGCTTACAGCTGTCTCCAGAGGAACCCCACTGAGTCTCCTAGGGGCTGAACCCCAGCCCCCACACAGCTGTGGGTGGGGGTTGAAAAGGGGTGTTGAGGGGATCAGAGGAGGAGAAATATGAATCCAGAAGGGGCACCTCAGGTACGGGCACCCTGGTCTTCCAGGGTGTGTGAATGCGTGTGTGGCAGTGCCCAGCCCAGGCCCGGTGTCAGAAGCATAGCCCCAGGGCTGAGGGAGCCAGCTTTGTTCTCTGCACAACCTTCCAATAGCACAAACCTAGTTGTTTCACATGCATAACACTTTGTGTTAAGTGCTTGGAGCATGCATTCTCACTTGGCCTGTACCATTCTCCTGGTTTTTTTGACAAGGCTTGGTTTCAACTCACTCGTGGTCAGAGAAGAGCCGGCAGGCCTGGAAGGCAAGGCAGGTCCTTGCCTCAAGTGTCCAAACTCTTTGTCTCTGCTCTGCAACTTCCGTTTGAGGTTCACTGATCTTGAGACATGGTATGCATTTCCATGGCCATAGATGGGTGTCTCTGTCTGCGTGTGTGGTAGGCAGGACCTCAGCCCACTGAGGAAGGTATGCAAGAGTGATGGTGGTGTGAGGGCAGGTGAAGGCACGTGTGGTCTCCAGCAGAAAAGCAGAGGAGCTGGGGTCCTGGAGAAACTGCCTGCCCCCTGGCAACATGTGTGGCAAGGGGGAAGGAGAGGCGACAGGTGCCCAAGTCACTCAGGGAGGAGCCAGAAAGGGTGACGGACAGAGTGATCAGTAGTGGGAAAGGGAGAGATGGAAAAAAAGGAGTAGACACCCATGGAAGGTTCCTGAGAGGAGGAGGAATGAGCCAGGTTAGAAGAGGGGGTGGAGGAACAAGAACCGGGAGGGGAAGAGACAGCTGGGGAGGGGGTGGAGAGAGGGGGCAGAAAGGAAAAGAGACATATGGGAGCCTCTTCTCCCACAACCAACTGTTTCTCCCCATTTATTATGTCCCTTAGAGAGCCGACGGTATTGGCTGATAGGGGAGCTACTCCCAGCTCAATCCCCTGCTCTGCCCAGAGCCCGGCCCACTCTCCCCATAGGCTGCTAAAAACTGGGTTACCGTGGCAACTGTGAGACTGCCGGATAGCCATAAGCAGGCCTGGCCCAGTCACTGCTGTTCCTTGGCTTCGGCGCAGTGGTGGTGGAAGAGGGTCTATTTGATCCAATCCCTGTCTCTCTCTCTCTCTCTCTCTCTCTCTCTCTCTCTCTCTCCCTGTCCTCCCCCACCCCCAGACACACACACACACACACACACACACACCTGGAAATAAGGATAAAGTATGCAAGAACACTTAGCCAACAGAAGAGAATTCTGCCTACACTTCAAGTTTAATTCACAAAAGCTGCTGCATTCTCTCAATTCCTAACATTGTGCGGAGCATGACACCCCAACCTGCAGAGATGTGGAGGCAGCCACAGGGCCTAGAGGCCAAAGGAGCCTGGAGAAAATAGCAAAGAATCTTCTGAACCATTTCCCAGGATGCAGCCAGGGAACCAGGGCAGGACAGACAGTCTCCCTTTGATGATGCTGTCTAGGGGGCTTTGGAGAACACCACTGGGGCTTCCACAACAAAGAGATGCCAGAACTAGAAAGGTGTCCAAAGCCCTCCAGTGGAAATGAGGGTCAGATGTAACTGAGGACCAGTGGCTTGCTCAGGTGACAGGTGTGTCTTATGACAGTTGTGCAGTTCCCAGCTCTTCTGACTCCTGCCCAGGGTTCTCTCCCAGCCCCACCTACCACCACCGTGCCCTACCAGCCACGGGTGGGCAGGCAGGGAGTCTCGTCTAGAACCTCCACTCTAACCTGTGCAACCTGGGAACTAACAGCTTGACAAAGCTGAAGTCCTAAAGGGGGGAGGTAACAAGTTGCATTAAGTTTAGAAGGGAACACAGTCATTGCGAGTTAGGTCCCCTGATGCCCTACAGGTTGAAACCTTGAATTGAAAAAATAAAAGCTAAGTAGGAGGAGCTCCCCACTTACTCCTCGTTACTATCCACTGTTACCTCACCTTGATCTGCTAACCCACCAGCCTCGGGAAACTGTGCTTGGCGCTGGCCTCTGCAGATACGGTGTGCTGGTCCCAAAGGCTGGGGCAGGAGCTGAAGCGTTTCTCTGCAAAGCCTGTGCGAAGGGCAGGGACCCCTCTCCCAGAAAAGGAGCCTTGAAGGGTCCAGATGCTTTGGGGTGTTTGTTTGGTTATGGAAAGCTGTGTCCGGCACCAGAAGGAAACATCTAGTGAATGGTACCACGGCCTTGCGTATAGCGCTCCCCCGCCACCACTTGGAGGCTCAGAGGAAGAAGTGGGCGTGATCCCCGGAACCGTGACCGCCGGAGACCAGCCGGTCACAGCGAGCCTTGTAGTGGTCGCGCTCCCTGGCCAGGCGAGCCACCTCGACCCGCAGCGCGTCCAGCTGGGAGGCTAGACGGGCGCGCTCAGCCTCCAGCCCGCGCCGCTGCTGCAGCCGCTTGGAACGACAGGCCTGCGCGTAACCGCGGTTCTTCAGCGTGCGGCGCCTCTGCTTCAGCCGCAGAGCCTCGTCGCGCCCGCAGCCCCGCAGCTGCCGGTTAAGCTCCCGCACCGACATCGACACCAGCGCGGCGTCAGAAAACCGCTCAGGTAGCTGCAAAGGGAGAGGGCAGGGACCGGGTCAGCTCAGCTCTTGCCAGGAGGGACCGGAAGGTTCCGCCCCCTGGACCACGCCCCCTTTGGCCACGCCCCAAAACATGCTCCGCCCCATAGACCTCCCCCTTGCTTATCACGCCCCAAACAGGTTTTGCCCCATGGGTCACGCCCCCTATCTGGTCACGCCACAAACAGGCTTTGCCCCGCAGGCCACGCCCCTTTGGACCGTGCCCCAAACAAGCTCCGCCCTGTGTGCCACGCCCTCTGTTTGACCACGCCCCTAACAGGCTCCGCCCTATGTGTCACACCCCTTGTTGACCACGACCCAGACAGGTCCTTTCCCGGAAAGCCCCTCCCAAGCTGCCACCTTTATCTGAAATTGCCTCTCCCATCAAACCTAGCTCAAAGGTGCTCACCCCTCCTGTCACAGATCCCAAACACTCCCCACACTCTACAAATGTCTTTGCTTTGGGATGCATGCCCCTTGGGGACCACCCCGCGGTGCAGGCCCCTCCTCCCTTAGTCAGGAGCAGCCCCTGCTGCTGCTGCAGGACTCCAGGACCACGCGGGTGCGAGGTGGGTGAGGTTGGGGGGGGGTATCCGGACCCTTCAGGACACCTCACTCCACTGTCCTGAAGGCCACAGCCCTGTGACCCTCAAAGGATTTAGATTACATCTAATGCCTTCAACACCCCCACCCGCGTCTATAATTAATAGGATGAATCCCGATCCTTCCTGAGAAGCTTGGGTCTGGGGAAGCTCCAAGTCTTGAAAAGGCCAACCTCATTCTGGTTCCCACAGCCTTGCACTCTATGGCTCTGTTCCAGCTGTAGTCCTCTCTGCGGTTTCCATACCTGCAGTATCTGTTTACCTCCTGGGAATCGTCCCATCCCCTCCAAGCCCTTGAAGCCTCTCCTCTTCCCGTTCTGTCCTAACTTTGTCCCCCTCCCCTCATTCTCCTGGTGGAAAAGGGGGCCAGGGGCTTAATGGTTGCCTTGTCTGGTTGGTTCCACCCATCCTTCCCATCCGCAGCCTTCCGATGTCTCCTCCTCCATCTGCAACCCCCTCCTGGAGCTGAGCTCTTTTGGGCTGTTCTTCCTATTCACTGCTTTCTGCTGCCATGTCAGGAAGCTGGCTGACACTCACCTGAGCACGTTGGGTCCCCATCTCCTCTGGGCTCCCTGGGTATAAGTCGTGGGGCTCCTCGGCAGGCAGCAGGCTATGATCCTGAAGCAGCTCTGCAGCCTCCTCAGGACTCAGCCCCAGGGCCTCCCCGGTCCCCAGCTGCTGCTGCAGGGCAGCCAGCCAGTACAGCTCCTCCAGGCCTGGCCGGGGCCCCTCCATGCCACCCCCCAGGCCTGGGTCACTGAGGGTGGGGGAAGGAGGCACTGAGCTGTAGGGTGTGGAGCCCAGTGAGGCTGTGGAGGGGGCAGCTCGCCCCTCAGAGGGTTCCCTCTTTACCTCAAACTTCATTAAGTCAAAGTCATTGACATATTCCATGGCCAGAGGGCTGGGGGGCAGTGCCATTCTAGGGCTGGACTGGGGGGGGGGCACCTGTAAAAAATAAAAGAAGGACTGGAAATTGCCTACTTGCCACCCACACCAAGACCTGCTGCCTGAAAACGTCAAGGGTCCCAGAGCCAGAGGTGTGGAGATTCAGTTTAAGGGTGCAGCCCTGATCCCCATTGAGTTCGCTCTGGGGAAACTTCTCAGATGACAGTGCTCCTGATGGGGACCAAGCAGCTTAGAAGGCCTGAATGAAGGAGAGAGTAGGACTATGCCTGACCTTCTGCAGTCTATAGAGTGTCCCCACTGCAGTGCTGGGATGTATAGTAAGAGGCTCTGTCCTCCCGAGAGACTTCGTTCCCTTTCCCGACAACTAAAACAATTTCCTTAATGACTGTGGCAGAGCATGTGAATCTTTTAGGGCCATGGAAAGGCACGTGTGCTGTGAATTAGCATCTAAGGATCAAATGTGGGGGAGACACCACAGTCTCTCAGTGTGCCCAGACCAGCGTGCCTCCAGTAGAAAAACCCTCCACTGTATGGATTAATCAATAATGAATCTCTATTAGTGCAGCAAGAGA